CGGCTGCATTCTGGACAAGCTGAAGTCTCTGAATGCTCTTCAAGGGCTGCCCCATGTAGAGCACATCTGCTAACCAGATATCAGGCTAGGTTTCTTATGTCCAGGAATAATCCCCTCCCTCCCTCCTTCCCTTCCTATCAGTTTTCAACCCATCTTGTAAACTACAACTCTGGACAGTTCATAGCAGTAAAAACTAAAACCAAAAAAGCCCAAATGCCTGACCTATCATCCCTAATTCCACCTAATTCCACCAATACATATGATCTTCAGGCTCCTCTCCTAGGGGGAAGCCATCTTTTTATAGCTTTCCTGGAAGCTAAAAGGGGGAGATTCTCCTGGACCTCTTAGGGGAGGGTGTTCCATAGGGCAGGGGCTGCTACAGAAAAGACATGATTCCTAAGTCCTATTAGATAGTAAGAATTAAGGGGTGGGACCTGTTATATACCCACCCTATGTGCAGCAGGCAGACCATCTCAGACAGAGGTGGTCCTTCAAATAAACCTGACCCCATGCTACATAGGGCTTTCAAGGTAATAACCAGCACCTTGGGAGGGGGGACTGAGAACCAGCTCACACAGCAATGGTGTAACATGGGCAAACAAAGGGACATCCAGCACTGTGCATGCTACCATGACCTGGACCAGTTGTAACTTCCAGGTAGTCTTCAAGGGCAGCCCCTTGTAAAGTTCAAGGCAATGGTCTAACCAGGAATGACCAAAGAGTGAGTGACCATGAGTATGCCTCCCAGTCCAAAAATGGATGCAACTGGTGCATGATTTATATGCAAAGATCTCTTTAGCGAGAGCTGCCACATGCTCTTCAAGCAGGAGCTGCAAGTCTGGAGGGACTTCCAAATTGTGTACCAGCTCTGTTTGAGGAATTTCTAACCTACTAAGTGTGAAAGGTAAACACATCACCAGACCCTGAAGAGGAGCAAAAATCAAAGCTACTTTATCTTGCTAGGCTAGAGTTAAAGTTGGTTACTCACCATCCAGTCCCTCATAGTCTCAAGGCACCAGGTCAGCACTAAAACAATGTCAATGGCCAGATCAAGGGTGGATGAATATATTTTATTTATTTGTCAACATGTACAAGGTAACAAGTATTAGTATAGACATGGACATTATTGTATGAGATTGGCACAAATAGATGGATATCAATAAGTATAACATGGCCATGAAATGAGTAGATATCAATGGGGACAGTAGGACAGGGATGGTAGGTAGGCACGCTGGTGCGCTTTTGCACATCCCCTTAGGGATCTCTTAGGAAACGTGTGAGGTCCTCAGTTGGCAAGTTTAAGGTTAAAGATATGGGGGTTTGAAGAACTAACAATGGAATCAGGTAGAGTGTTCCAGGCATTAGCCAACTTCAGTTGCTGAAGTTATTTGATTGTTATTTAAGTTATGTTTAAAAGTTATTTAAGTTATATAATTATGTATCTTCACATCCTGATGATATTGCAAATTGCATCGAAGAATCTCAGTCAGTAGTTTCATACAGATGTTAGAGGAGCAATGAGAGGCCCAAGACCTGTTCGCCCCACTTTGCAAGGGCCTAGGCCTTGATCAATCTCCACCCCCAATGCTGAGTAAAATTGGCCAGTGAAAAAGGAGAACAACTACTGCAAAACAATGCTTCCTTCTCTCAATCCCTGAAGCTGGGTGAGAAGAATACTGATGGCATCAAAAGCTGCAGAGAGATCCAGGAGGACCATAATGGTCCACATTATGACTTTGGGACTGATGAATAACCAATGGAATTATTGCCTACCCATATGTCTATGTTTCAAGCATCTTCCTTGAAACTCTCCACATTATCAAGCCGACAGTGAACTAGTCACATGAACACGATTTCTCCAAGTGAGGTTTGGGGAACTGAAAATGCAACACAATTTACACACCATGGCTCTGTGGTACCTTAAGCAGAAAAATGGAAATGAAGAAAGGCCCCAAAGCTGGTTAGCATGGAGATGTTCTGAATTATTTCGTTCTGTTTACATTCCATATTCCTATTCAAGAGAATGCTCAGGGTTGCTAACCAATTAACAAAAAGGAGATTCCAAAACTAAAAACATGTTAATATGAATTTTAATTTAATATTAAAAGCCTGGTGAAAAAGAAGCCTCTTTACATATTTTTAAAATGTTGATAGTGGTTAGCACAAGTTCTGAGGAAGCATATTTCACCACTTGGGAGTAATGCAGAAGAAGGGCTTTTCCCCAATAGAAGGCCTCTGACAGCAGGAACTTCTTCAGAAAGGCTTGTCCTGCAGTTCTTAGCTGCTGGGCAGGACACGAATAAACTCTCCTGGGCCTTAAGCCATAACCAGTGCAGATCATCTAGTACAGAGATCAGGGATCCAATATGTTACAAATATCCCATAGTTTGGTCTATGTTTAGAAACATTAAGAAGAAAAAAGCAATAAGGTTGCCAATGGAACTGCTCCAGAATACATTGTTTCAGATAATTTACTTACGTTTATTGAGAAATTTAAAACAATATTTTCCCTCTTATATTTCAATTAGAATATTTTATATCAGTCAGGTTGCAGATTCCCAGCTACCAACTGACAAAAAAGTATCTTCTTTTGGGTAAGATGGATCCAAAAATGATGGACTGTTATTTCTGTAAAAAAAGAGAAAGGTCAATTTGAGCTGGAAGGAAATGCATGTCTAAGGCCTGCAGACAAAAGGAACTGTAGCCAAGATTTTGGGGTAGGTGGGAATTTGAAGTGGATAAAGATGCTGGAAGCTACTCCAAGGAAGCTGGGAGTAGCCATGGTTGAGGCCTAAACAGAAAGGTATAAGAGTTCGGGTTGGCTGAAGGAAGTATTAGTTGAAACAATATTTTTACTGTTTTTACCCAGTGAATTCAAGGCAACAACTTTGAGGTTCAATTAATGCTGTCAACTGATTGACCATGGTTAAAAGAACAATAGCCAGCACACCACTCCTATGGGAGAGAACAGGTAGAAAAAGAGAACCTGAGAGAAGAAAATCAAACTGTGGAAAGAAGAGGTGAAGGAAAAGAGATAGTGAAATCCCAGAGACAGGAGAAACATCAGCTTGTTGATATGCTTGTGTGTTTTATTAACTCAGCCTTTGCAATCATTCTGTTGTATTAAAGAGGGAAATGTGTTGAATTGTGGATAACTCAGTCCTAATATTCCTGACTATTGCTGGTCATAATATTGAGCCTGCTGGGTTTTGTGGAGGACAACAGCTAACCTCCACTCTCCCACCTTTCTTTCCGTCTTTCCCTGAGCAGCTTTCCTGGGAATAATCAGGGTCACTTTTGATTGCCTGTCCCAGATGTGCAAACTTAATCTGAACTACAACTGACAAAGGGATCCTCTTCAGTTATTCTAATAAGCAGCAGAGATACTCATGGATGAACCAGGTTTCCCGAAAGACAGTGATCACCGGAGAACTGCAAATGTTCCTACCTTCTATCTCTCCTGTTAAAAGGACTACTTTCAATTTGGGAATGGTTTTGTTTGCATGATACATCAGTTGCAACTGTGACAACCAGGTTTTAAGCAAGCACCTTCTATGAACTGCCAAAAATTTACAAATTATCCTTAGACCATGATTATATACAGTTTGGTCTAGAGGTTAAAACACCAGACTAAAAAGTCGGAGACTCTGAGTTCAGGCCCCACCTTAGCCATGAAAGCCAGTTGGGTATCTTTGAGACAGTCTCTCAGCTCATCCCACCTCATGGGGTTGTTGTTGTGGGGAAAATAGGAGAAAGGAGTGTGGTATATGTTCACTGCCTTGCACTATTTGTAAAAACAATATAGATGGGATACAAATAAAATAAACAACCATGGGTAAGCATGTAAGTAAACAAGGCCTATGTAAAGCAGTCTAAGCATTCAAAAGCATAAGTATTATTATTACAGTGACCAGGTAAAAAAGCCACTTTTACTACACAAAGACTGGGGAGGAGAGAGTGATAGCTCTTTTTATTCTATGTGGACCATTCTTTCCCAATTTCTTGCTCTCCAGATACCAATTTCCATTATACTCTTCAGAATCTGGTTCAGGACAGCTTGTAATCAGTAACTACTTCAAAGAACAATATTGTCAATTTCTATTTCATACAGGAATATTTGTGGAAGAGGAGGATTAAAATATTTGTTTTATTTAGATCAGTTTGCATTCTGGCCAAAAATATGTAACAGGAAAGGGTGGTCGGTATATTACTGGTATTAGGAAATACAAAACTTCCTTAATCAGATCATTAGTTTATTTAGACCAACTTCCTGCAACTGGATACATCTTCTGCTGGTCCAAACTTTATTGGGGCTGCAACTTTCCAAATTCTAGTTGGTGAGGCATTCTTTGCACTGCAGTCCCGATGTTTCGGTGGGGGGGGGGAGTCAGTTTGGAGAAGACTGACCAGGACCACTAGGGCTCATTCTAGATTGTCTATTCTGAGGCCTCAGCAGTTGCAATTTAAACAAAATGATGCTCAGCAATGATAAAAGTAGGAAAACATCCTCTTTTAGAACTTTATTTGTGCCAAGGTTCCATGCACAAGTTCCATCTGAGATGGTAGTTTCAGAATAAAAGTTGGTGATTTGCCCAGGCTTGTTCAAATTGTCAGTGGTAAAATTAAATCTGTTTGTGCAATCTGCGCTGTGCTTCGCTTTTAGTGGGGATATTTTAAAAAGCCCGATCCAAGATGTCAGAATGTAGCAGGTTCGTCCACTGTGGGCATACCCCATCTCCCCCATGCCAGCCTATCCTTGAATGGCAACTCCCCCACACAAGAGTTTTTCCTCTGGAAAACTAGCACTAAGAGCAAGCAAGCTCTTTCAAGGCAGCAAAGAGCAGAAGCTGGAAGATGGCCTTGGACACAATCGTCTCCCCTGTTTGCTTGACTGGGGGTTGCTTCTGCCTGCTCACTCTCAGCAAAGGAGGAGAATTTCGCTGAAGCCGATTCCATTTAAATATATAAATGAACAGATCAAATAGAAATAAGGATTGATAAGAAACCGGAGGTCCCGGTTCCCTCTTCAGCAAGGCTGCTTTGCTTCCTGCGGACGAAATTCGGCGGCGAGGATTTCAGGTAGACCGAACGAGCCAATCCACCCCTCCCGCTTCAGCCCGTCTGGAGGGGCTTGGGAGCCGCAGGGGGGGCTGCCAAGAGTGTGTGCGTTGAGTGCGAGTGCCCTGGGGAAGGTTTGCCTCGGCTTGGCTCGCAACTCCAATGGCTGCTGTACAAAGCAGGTGGGGGGTGGGTGGGGTGGGGGTGCCGGGCGGGGGCGACTGCATTCTGCTCCCAGGCGAAGCCGGGGCTGCACGCGGAAACGGGAAGGGAGAACCACACGGTCAAGGCCCGCCGCTCTTGACCGATGTCAAGGAGCTGCAGCGGCCGGGAAGGAGCGGGGAAGCCGGAGCCTGGGTAACTCTGGGCCGTCGTTCGGGATCTGCACCGCACCACCTCCCGCCGGAGTTTGGGGATTCGGCCGTGGTGGCTGAGCTGCGGTGGGTCCCCTGCGAGGCTCCCCGCCCGCCTTCGCCCCACATAAGGAAGAAGCAGCGCTGCCCAAGGCAACAGGCACGCGACGTTCTCGCTGGCCCCGGAGACCAGCTGCGGCAGCGGGGGTGGCCCTTTCAGCGCCCGCAGCGGTAGAGCGGGCTTCTCTCCCCAAGTCAGGCGGGAGACGCTTCATCCAATCTGTGGGGAGGAAGGAGGACAGCCACCCAACCTCACTGCTGGGCAAGCCATTGGCTGGGGAGTGGATCTCCCCCCCTCCCCCCCTCGAGGGTTTGGGGAGCGGCCTGGTTTCGTTCTGTAGATGAGATCCTAGCCTCGTCTTCCTCTGCCCCCCCCCCACGGTTCTCGGGGGCAGTGTGGCCCTGCTCTCGTCTCTGGGAGAACAGGATCCCTTTAGAATTTGGCGGGGGCCAAAAGGCAGCCAGCTCTCTCGCCACAGCCCAGCCATTTATTTAAGGAGAGACGGCTCCCCTCCCTTAATCGGCGAAGGAGGTGGGGCGGGGGGGGGAGAGAAAAGAATAGCGACGGAGCTTTTCTTCACTCGCCACCCCATTGTTGGCCGCGAAGAGGGAACAAGTTGACCTGCTCAATTTCCCTCATTGTTTGGGCGCGAATATGGGGGCGGCCTTGGCTACGTCCTGCTCCTAATCTCAGGGGCAGAAAGCCCACCCGGTTTTCCTCTCCCCCTCCCCCTCCCGAAGCGGAATAGGTTTACGAGGTCGGCCCGGCGCCCTGGTCAACCCCATGGATGTGGCGAAGGGCACTCAGACTCGGCGGCACCACGTGCCCCGGAGAGAACCCCGGGACGGCACTAAGCCCGGTTGGCTGGTGGTCACGGGGCGTCAGGAGGACTCCCCCCCTCCCCTTATTTCAGGCTGGCGAGGAAAGCGGCGGCTGCCCAGCGGATGGGTGGACGAGCTGAACAGCCACCATCTTTGCTCGCTCGTGCTCTCTCCCGCACCGCTTGGCGGGGGAGCTAGCAAAGGCCTGGCCTCGCAGGCGGCGCCCTGCCTGAGGTGGCTTGGTACGAAACGACTCGTTTAGGCTGCGTGGAAGGACGGGTGCTGGCGCTGGGCGCGAGAAAGGCAGGGTTTGTCCAGCGCGGGCAGAGAGGAGAGCTGCGGCGCCATGTGCCGTGGGAAGGAAGGGAGGGAGGCCGAGGTTAGGCCGGGCAGAATTGCTCGGCCACAACCAGCCCTCGGGAGCAGGCTAAGGAGATAGTCAGTGGAAGGAGCAAGAAGTGGGGCAGGAGGGGCTGCAGCAGTGAGCACTAGGGGGCAGCGACAAGCACACAGGGCCGTGTGGTGCCCAAAGGGGACAGGAGCGGGCGCGCCCGCTCTGATTGGACAGCGCCGCGTTTGCAGCTGCTGAACCCCAAGAGTCAGTCAGGGGGCGCGCGCGAGCGCGCACGGGGGGACAGCAGTGGCGGCGGCGGCGGCGCGCCTGCAGCGGGGGCGCGCCTGAGCGGAAAAGAGCGAGCGAGCAAGCAAGCTAAGCGCAAGAGGCCGGCAGGCTGCTGTGCTGGAGTCGGAGCGGGTAGGGGCCGGAGGAGCCAAGTCGGCTCTTCGTTTTGGCCCCGCACTGAGGGAGGGGGCAGGTAAATTTCAGGAACGACTTCCCCGTTCTCCAAAAAAGGCTTTAAAGCGTTTTCTTCAGCCAAATTCCATCCGGACATGGCAAGGGCGCTGCAGCCCACTCCAGATGGGCCTTTGCAAAGGGGAGGGGGGGCAATCCTTGCTTCTGTCGGGCCTAGTAGGGAAGCCGGGCGGTAGGAAAAGGAGGAGGGATGAAAAGTCCAGAAGCCTTTGCTCGACCGTTCACTGTGTAGCAGCTGGAGCTTTCGGGGAGGTGGGGCGGGGAGTGCGGCAAGGCCAGGCCAGGCCTGCTCTGCTCTGCGGTGCTCCCGGCAAGCAACAGCAGGATGGATGCTGCCCTTGTTATGAAGGCAACGTCAGGTTGTGGCGATTAGGAGGCAGCGTTGCTGGGAGTGGAGAGTCGGGGGAAGGAGCCCGCACCCGGCTTGTTAGACGTTCTGCGGCCTCCGGGCCAGAGCAGAAGGCGGCTGTCGGGCCTCTGCCGCGGCAGCGGCCGCCGAGAAAAGGAGGAGGAGCAGGAGGAATGGCTGCCATTTTGGAGAACAAGGCCATGGAGGGCTTGGCTGACCCCATTGTTGCTGTGTTTACTTCACAGGTTGATGCCCGCCTCGCAGAATGGATCAGGCCTGCGAAGTGAGCAGGAGGGGCTGCCTGCTCTCTCTCGCCACTCCTTTGGGGCTAGACGCGCTGGAGGAGGAAGGGGACAGCAGCCCCTACGTGGGGGAGGGTCGGAGTGATAGCCCCGAGCTCCCTAATGGGTGCCCCGTGGGGGTTCCTCCAGCAGCGTCCGAGGCTGCATTCGGTCAAGAGCCTTCCTCCTTTTATATCCCGCTGCGCAAGCTGCAGGATTTGGCCTCCATGGGCAATGCTGAATATTTCAATAGCTCAAAAGATGGCTCTGATTCCTTGCAGGAGCTGGAAATGAACGACTCCAGCCGGGACTCCCTGGAGCTTTGCAGTTCGTCGTTGTCGTTAGATGGCTCCAGAGACTACCATCTGCAGGATTCTGCCAGGACTCTGGATTTTGACTCTTTTTCTTCATCCGAGGAAGACAAGGAGGAGGATTCAGAAGCCTCCTTCATCACAGCTGAGGAAAATCCGGAGGAAGAAATTCTCTTGAGGATGGCAAATAGAGCTACAGCCACCTGCAGTAAGGAAACCGACTCTGAGAACAGGGCAGACCTCCATCTAGGAGACTGTGTAGAAATTAGACCCAATGAGACCATTTCTGCCCTCTTATCAACCCCACTTTGTTCTCCAAAGCATGTACAAAATAATTCTTACCAAGAGTCGGCTATAGGGAGCAGGACTGAGAAAACGGATCTACCCTCAATGCCTTATTTACCTGGAGATGCTGATCTGAGGAAAGAAAACCAATTCAGTCTCATGAAAGTATCTGAAAAGGAAGATCCAAATCCAACTCCCATCAACTTAGGAAACTTGATAGAAAGGCTTGAATCTTCAATTACTGCAAATCCACCAACTCCAGGATTACCATCTGTAAGCAGCCTTGGGGTACCAAATAAGTTTTCTGGAAATTTATTTTACTGTGGGCCACCTGCTGCTTTAGAGAAGCACAAATAGAGGGGAGGAAGGTCAGTCAGTTAAGGGGCAGCCTTCTGCAACCTGGTGCACTCCAGATAATCTTGTTCTTAGAACCATTAACTGTCTGAACTAGGATGCTAAAATTTAATTCCATCTGGAAGACATTAGGCTGAAGGAAGTTGTTGTGGGGCAGATTTTTTCCATATATCTGCTTATGTGTTTCAGATGAAAATTGAAATGGGAATGATTTAGTAAAGTGAATAGTACAAATGTACCTTATTCTGCCTGGCACATAATCATCAAAGTTGGCATATTGAAAAGTAACTTATTGCAGAAGCAGGATTGAATCTGTTATTTTTTTCTTTTATAGGAATTCCCAACTTTCCTTGCTTCTTATTGACAACCATTTGCCAGAATTGGGATGTAATATTTTATTGATTTAATTATATATATATTTTTTCGTTTACAACATTTTTTTTCTTCCTGCTTACGGTTTCAATTATTAGTATAAATCTGGAATTTTAAAACTACTTTGAAGCCAAAATATTCTTTTGATAGAACATTTGTCTATAGAATTAATTTCTACAATTCATTGTAATTTGTGAGTGTAGGTTATCTTTACATCAGTGAAAGATAAACCAGTTCTACGAGATGAAAGGTTATTCGTGCATTTCTAATTTGATTTGCAAGGTTGGTACAACCATTTCACATAAAAGTCACTGCAAGAGTAATAGCAAAAATATGAAAATAAGTGTAATTTTGAGCATTTCTTTTGCATAGAAACACATTTCAGATACTTGCTGTCAGTTTTGTCTTTTTAGTGCATGTACATATGATACAACAAACTGATATTGTGTGGTATACTATACATTGTATAGTATACATTGATGTCAACAAGTGTCACATGCCAGGTAGGCATGCAAATATATCAGGATAAAATAACATGAAGCAGGGGGAAATATACTATTTTAGTAAAACTAGAAAGATTTAACTAAAAATATAGGTTTGAAGATTACATTTTTTTATAGTTATAAGAAGCTGATCAGTTCATGGGCCCGGAATTGATTGGGAATGACAACCATGATACTGATAATACCTGGAATCAAAAGTTTACTTTTCAGGAGTAATTTTGCAAATAATTATGTTTTGCTGTGGCCCTATATTCATTGTTGTGAGTGGAAGTATTAAAGAATAAACACAGGGATTGGCTTAAGAATTTTCATTGTGGTTGGTTTGTAAAGGTTGTGCTGTGGCAGTAAATAAATAGAAAAAAGAGTGTGATATAAGAGTAATAGAACAATTCTGCATTTGCCCATTCAGAAGTACATTCCATGTAATTAAATGGAACCTATTTCTTGATAAATGAGAAAAGGATTACGAACAGTTGTCTGGTGCACACATGTATACACATACACTCCACCTCTAAGTTTGGACATATGGTGGGATTTTTTTGAGTTTGCTTGTTATGTGAACCAAGCTATTATGAGTTTTTGTGGGATGCAAGCAATGTATTTGTACGAAGTGCTGCTATAAGAATTGTTTTATCTTCAACTGTAGCATTGACATATTGTTCATATTTATTGTTACTTTATTGAAGGCTAGGTAATTCAGGGGAAAAGTTGTTACATCTAAAAACAGCAGCCAACCCAATAATATTTTTGCAGAAGGATTTATACCTCATTGCATGAAGTGGTTATTTCAACTATTAAGTGCACATATAGATATGTTAAGTTCTTAAAGCAGGCATCCAATATGAATTGAGTAATTTATTATATTTGTGGATAGGTAAAATTGATCTGACTAAAGGACCTTATTTATTGTTTAAAATAAAGCAAGCATAATCCTACAAGAGACATTCTCTTCAAGGCCAAATAAGAATATCTCTGAAGTGGTTGTTTTATGAGGTTGCTGCTATTTGTAACTGCTTGCATTAAAATGTTTGGCTTTTTGTTAAAGTGAGGTGCAAAGGACAAGCAATGCAAGAGTTAGTCATAGGAATATTACTGTCCTGAATATAATTATGAGTTTCATTTCCAAATTGCTTTGTATCTACTGTTTTGAGTTAGAATCTCTGTTCTCTTGAGCCTTCTAAGTCTTGAGTGTCCATGATTAGGTCCTGTGGTGGTTAAGAAGCCTATTTGGCTTCCTGCTTGCTTGTGTGGGATGCTGTTAAGATAAAGAAAAATAAGAAATCTTTTAAAAAAAAAGAGTTTTGTCTTTTGGAATTCAGTATTACAATTCTCTTTTAAAATGTTTTGCCTAAGGTTACATCAGACTAAAAGTATGTTAGCTTACTGGATCACTTTTGTGAGTTTATACGTATATTAAGAATAATAAACCAAGTAAATTCTAGGCAGTTATTGACAATCTGTAACAAAGGGTAGTTTCCTTTTTCATTCAATTGAAAGTATTATTTTGTCTAAGAAGAGTTAATAAGGATTAAATTATAGTTCAAGGTGTGAGTTCTCATACTTGAAGAAAGTGGAAACCTTTATAGGTATTCCTTGACTTACCACCATTTCTTTGTAACTTTTTGTTAGTGACTATTTGAAATTATGATGAGCCCTCACACTTATGACTGTCTTAGTGTTCCTACAGTTACATGATTTCAGTCTGGATGCTTGGTAACCAGCTTACATTTACAACAGTTTTTTAGTCACATGATTGCCATTTGTGACCAACAAAATTAAGTGCGGTCATGATGCTTTGCTTAATGACCAAACTGCTTAACAACATATTTTCCAGTTCCAGTTATGGTCATAAGACGAGGACTACTTATAGCCTGTGACAAACTTGAAATGGGACCTTTACACTTGTATGGCGCTTAGGTGAGTGCAGAAGCATGTGGCCTGTAGTGTTGCAATGGGATGCTAAACATCGTTATTACTTCAATCCTGAATCCCTTGTAGTAAACTCATAGGTAGAACTGTTGCTTTTCTGTGTAGAATAATAGTGGATATTATTTTTTGCTGCAAATTAGAAAAAAATAATTGGATGGTTTATGAACCTTATGATTGGAAAGGGTAGATTATGGAAAGAAAGAAACTTTGATATAACCTTAGTAAAAAGGGTAAAATACAAATATTCTTATAATTGCTATTAAGTAGATTAAAAACCACTTCTTTATTATCTCTTTTTCATTCAATTCAACTTCATTTCTTTTTTCTTTCCTATTATTTTTCTCTATTTCTCTTTAAGTAAGAATTTGTAATGTTTTTATTCAGAGGAAAATTATCTATCTATCTATCTATCTATCTTCTAATACCAGTAATGGGGATCTGGCATATTCTTGTGGCTGGGGGGGATCTGTAGTCTGTGCCCCTGGGAGATTCCATCTCAGATTTCTATGCAAAAATTTCACTTAGGTCATCTTTTCTGCATCTGTTTCTGTATTTACTACCACTCAAATTATGAAGGGCTTTCTAAAAATAAATTGTTTCCATTCTATCCTATGTACTCTGCCCATAACTAATGAGACCTTCTGACAAACATAATGGACAGGTAAAAATAATTTTGGAGGTTCATGCTAAATATATTAATACCACACTTATTAAGTTTTAGTTGTTCAGAATTAATCAGCTTATTTACAAAATGTTTGTTGTAGAAATAGCCTTTTACCATATTTTTCAGAGTATAAGATGCACCAAGATTTTGAAGAGGCAAATTAAAAAAAGTTTTTGCACTCTGCAGACCACCCAAAAAATCTATTTTTTTGCAAAAATGGGCCTGTTTTTGTCAAAAAAAAAGGGCAGGCACAGCCTTTAGGAGGCATATAGAGTATTCCTGGGGGCTGGAGAGCAAAAACGAGAAAAAATGGCCCGTTTTTTGCTCATTTCTGTCCTCCAGCGCCCTGGAGCACTCTAGAAGCCTCCTAAAGGCTATGCACAGCCATTTTGGTGAAGGGGGTGGGGTTTTGGGAGGCGAAAAAAGCTGTATTCAGTGTATAAGATGCACCCAGATTTTCACCATCTTTTCTGAGGCAAAAAGTTTTATACTCTGAAAAATACAGTAATTAATTTAAACCAATATTATTTATTATTTTATCTTAAAATGTGATTCTCGGACCCGTGAGTGTCCCCTTAAGACCTCTTAAGGGTCCGCAAAATAAAATTTGCCAGACTATGTTGAAAAATAATATCTGAGGAAGCATCCCAATTTCATCACCCCATTGCATCAGGTCAGGCACGGAAGGTATGTTACCTGCTCAATTGGTTAGGTAGTTTTGACTGGCAGGACCTAGATAAAGAGCCTCCTCTGCCATTGCCATCACCCTATAAAATATTTTGCCTCCAGAGGTGAGATTGTGCCCAGCTCTTTTGGCCTTCCAGAAGAGTATAAAGACCTGGATTTGCCAACTGGCATGGGGATTGAAGAGTCACAGGTGACCAATGGTGGGTTTCAAAAAATTTTGGAACCTCTTCTGTAGGTGTGGCCTGCTTTGTGGGAGTGGCTTGTCAGCCATGTGACTTGGTGGGCGTGGCCAACTTGTAAAATGTGGTGAAACTCACTTAACAACGCTCTTGCTTAGCAATCAAAATGTTGGCTCAGAAACTCTGGCATTTGAAGCGTGCAAGTCTTAAAACTGTCAGGTTACAAGACCCTTGCACCCCTAACCCTTTAGAAAAACACCCCAGG